CCCACCTCTTGTTTTAACCGTGTCTTTTTTCAAGACAATACCTAGATAAATTTAATTGCAGTATGAATATCATATTAATTTAATTAGGGGCGCAAAATTTACAAGAGATACAAATATTAAAACGTGGTGAAAACCATATATTAGTATTTGTAACCTAATCCAAACCATAGAACTTGGCAGTACCTAATTTACAATGAAGTAAATAAGCATTTAGCTAAGTAATTACAAAAGTCTATTAAAGTAAAATAAACAAATTCCTATTATGCATAAAAATGAGTATCGGACCATATAGACCTAACATTTTGGATAATGTTTTAGTTATTTTAATAACTAAAACATTAGTTCTTAAAATGAAAATAAATAAAACATTCGTAAATAAAATATGCATTATTTCTAAACACTAAAAATTATTTCTAAAAAAAAAAAAACTTAACATAAAAAGATACAATACCAAATTCTTTCTTACTAATAATTATCAGGAAAAGAAAATGCAATAGCAGACACACTCTACTTTTTTGCAAATCTCTATTTGTTTTTTATCTAGCTAAAATATTTGGTTTTAATAAACCTGAGCTTTTTATACAATTACTCAACGCAGAGCCATAGCAATTTATTTTTCAATTAATTTCCTTAACAACAATACATAGTGGAAGAGTATTGTATTGAAGGCAACCAAAAATAAATTAACGTGGATATCAACAACTTTTGTCGAAGCAATTATCAAATAATTTGGTGTTCATTTTTACGATAATGCCAAAAATATTGAATTAAGGATAAATATTCTATAAAATAATTTCCTCAATAATATATAGAATAAAAATACATTAAAAATACTTCTTTGTAAGCATTCAAAAAGAATATTTTTTTTTTAATTTTTATTTTTTTATTTGTCATTAAAAAAAAAGAATACAATGCCGTTTTATATAAATAAAATCTACATGACCGGGGCTAAAATAAGACAATATTTGCCTTATCACTACACCCCAACGTGCTTTCATATGCAACTTTTCAGCTGGTTATTTAATAAAGTGTTCCATAATTTAGGACCTCTGATGGCAATAGAAAATTTAGTAGCCAAGTAGTGTATTTTAGGTTGCTCGTAATTATAATTTGAAAATCTTGTAGGGTACACGTGATTAATTTTATTGAAAAATGTATTAAAAATGATAGGAGTTAATTTATTATGTAGTTTGTACATAAATATAAGAATTTGATAAAGGTTTAACTGAAGAACATTGAGTATGTGATGATTTTTGAACAGTTCTTTAGAATGTGCAGATCGACCTGCATTTGAAATAATCCTGACAGCGTGTTTTTGTCAACTAAGCAATTTTTTAACCCTACTTACATTGGAGCTGCACCATGCAATATTTGCATAGTTTATATAACAAAGTATGAGGGAAAAATATAAGATTTTTAAGCAGTTTTGGTTAAAGACTTGCTTAGCTTAGTAAAGTATGCCAATATTTTTTGAAGTTTTATTTTCATTTCATTTTAAAGTTGCCAATTTAAAAATCAGGAAGTTTTAATGCAATATTTTCTTTATCCTGAAGTCTATGAAAAAAAGTATACTTAGTTTTATTTAAATTTAAGGACAATTTGTTTGCCTTAAACCATTCCGCTAGATTTTAAACTTCCTTGTTTACTATTTTAAATTATGCTCTTAATATGTATCCTCACAAAATTTTATGATTTTGTTTTTCAATTATTTTTTAAAATATGTTATCCAATTTAATGAAAAAGGCGTAAGTCCTAATATATTATGATTTATTTATTCTCGCCTACCTGGGCAAGATTAAATGCATTGGGCGACAATATATATTAATTTTTTTGGGCGAGATTGAGTTAAGTTGATAGGTTGAGCAAAAAACAATTTTATGCATATTTTACCAATTCAAACAAATATAAATGTTATTACAATCAGAGTTTAAACAGTGGAGAACGTTATTAAACTTAACATGCATAATAAATAAATAATTCTGTAGATTTGTATAAGCTGGTTTAAGTTTGGCAAATTAAGTAGCAAAAAAATAACGGAAAACCAACAAATTTTCTTAAAGAGTTATTTTTTTATTTGAAATTCTTTTAAGGTCAAAATTGTTTTGATGTTTATATGCCTAGTTTCCTGCTTTAAAAAAACGTCCTTTTGATGGTGCAGCGTGTGAGTTAATTGACATAAGTAATTAAAGATGGTGGGTGAGATTGAGTGATAGGCAAAATTTTGATAAGTTGCCATATTAAGTAACAAAAGATTTTTGTGATTTGAAAATTAAATTATTTTTTATACTATTTTATAACTTTTTTTAAAGAATTCTTACACTCGGTAACTGTGACAGAAAATTTTTTTTTTAATGCTATTGTAGTTGTTTTACTTATGATTTTAAAATAAAAAGTAAGCAATATATAATAAATAAAAAAAAATAAATAATATTAAGTAAAAAACAAAAATCATAATTAAATTGACAAAAATAAAGGTTTATATAAAAACAAAAATGTTTTATCTTAAATGAATGTTACAAAATTTGACTACATAACTTAATTTTTGTAATATGTTAGAAAATAATTTATTTTTTGCATAAATTATTTCTAGTCGAGGCTTGTTTTTTATTTAGTGTCGTAGGGATACAGTAATTTGAAGGCTAAAGTGTACCCTGTAATTTTAAATATTTTAAATAAATTTTAAAACAAACCGTTAATAATAAATAAAAAAAAGCTTTAAAAGACGTAAAATATCAAGCAAAGAAAATAATTTAATAATGACATTAAGTTTTTGTCGTAATCAGTTCCATGTTTTTGCTTTACGATTATCTTTGTGATATAGTATTGAATAGTCATATTTTAACGGTTCTAGGAAAAAATCCCCTGGAAAAAGTCTCCCCAGAAAAAATTCTCCCGAATTAATCTCTCGAAAAAAAATTTCCCCGAGAAAAAATCCCCCTGGAAAATATCCCCTCTCCCTAAAAATAAAATTTTTACTTTAAAATGATCAATATGTAGTTATGTTATTATAAACAATACTTTAAATTTTCATCAAAATTTCAAGTGATGCGCTATTCCTCGAAAGTAGCGAATGTGAAACCCTATACCTAACCCTAACCCCGACGAACTGCAAACTGGTAAAATGTGAGCTCTTTTGCGAACCATCGTAGTTAATTTAGCGGTATATTTTAAAGACTTTTAAGCGAAAAAATTATTTAAAAAAAAAAATAAAAGTGAAACTAAAATCTAGTTTCACTTTTATTTTTTTTTTAAATAATTTTATTTAAATAACTTAAATATTAGTTTATTATTTAAATTATTTAAATAAAATTATTTAAAAAAAAAATAAAAATGAAACTAATAATAATTTATTATTTAAATTATTTAAATAAAATTTAAAAACAAAATAAAAGTGAAACTGATAAAAATTTATTATTTAAATTATTTAAATAAAATTATTTAAAAAAAAATAAAAATGAAACTAATAATAATTTATTATTTAAATTATTTAAATAAAATTTAAAAACAAAATAAAAGTGAAACTGATAATAACTTATTATTTAAATTATTTAAATAAAATTATTTAAAAAAAAAAAAAGGAAACTAGACTCTAGTTTCATTTTTATTTTTTATATAAATAATTTTTATATAAATACAAAAATTATATATTTATATTTTTGTATTGTGTTCGTCTAGTAGACGAACACAATATGAAAATATAAATAAATAATTTTTTATTATTGGAAAGACTGTCTGCCCAAACCAAACCTCAGTCGATGTAGCAGCACTCCGTTGCGAGTAAGGCTATTTGGCAGTTGATGTAGCAGCACTCCTTTGCGAGTTAGGCTATAAGATAGTCAATGTAGCAACACTCGGTGCATGTTTTACAACACTCAGTTGTGGGTCAGGCTATTTGTCAGTTGATGTAGCAGCACTCCTTTGCGAGTTAGGCTATAAGATAGTCGATGTAGCAATACTTAGTGCATGTTATAAAGTTAAAAAATAAAATTTTCAGTTTAAATAAAGCTTTAAAATAGATAATTAATAAATGGAGAGTTTTTTTAATTGTTATTTTTGTCATAAAAACAATGTTCTTTAAAATATAATGTTTTGTTTTGCATTTTATCGGTTCACAGCTTGCGGTGCGCAGTTCGCACTTTACCGACAACCGAGGAATAGCGCATAACTTAACATTTTGATAAAAAAATCAAGTATTTTATAAAACTTTTTAAAACAATAAACTTAACTATTTTATTGATTATTTTTAATTAAAAAAAAAAAAAAAATTTATGGAGGGGGGGGGGGGGGAAATCTTCCGGTGGGATTTTTTCTTCGGGGGATTTTTTCTCAGGGGCATTTTTTCTTGGGGGATTATTTCGGGGAGATTTTTTCCTGGGGGATTTCCTCCTGCTACCTATTTTAACAGTAATTAACGAGATTTATTAGTTTATAATAATACAAGGTTATGTAATAAATAATATTATCAGCGATATGGAAAACCCATTTGTTTTCCCGCTTCAATTGTTATTTAGAAAAATAAATACAGAAATGCCAAAGTAGGTTAAAAACAATTTTTGTGTATATGCCAAGTAATTTGAGTTCATACTTAATACTAAATGAAATGAAAGTGTTGTTGTTTTAATATAAACTTCAAAGTAAAAAACAAACATTAAATAAAAACCAAGAAATATTAAATTATAATTTTATAAAAATAAATTATAAAGCAAAAAGCACTATTAAATAAATAATAAGATAAGTTTACATATAAAATCAGATTCTTTAACTTATTTTTATCTTAGAGAGTAACATAAAACAAACCGTTAAAGTAAAAGAAGACTTTAAAAGGCGTAAAATATAAAAACAAAAAATTTTTATAATAGTGACATCGGCTGAGTTTGGGTCAAAGAAGTTCAATATACATCAACTAGTATTATATAGTCACATTTTGACACTATATAACAAGATTAATCGGAGAATAATATTACCATTTAAAAATGTTTAGTAGTTAAATAAAATATTACCAAAAACTGTTGCTGTTTTTGTTGTTGGTGTTGTTGGTGGAGATTGCGTTGTTTGATCTAAAAAAATAAATACAGGAATCTTTCAACAACATTATTCAAATAAAAGTAACAAATACCTAAACTTGAATATAAACTTTGCAAGTTATTTTAATGCACATATTTTAGCATTAGTGGTTTCATTTTGTGTAATACACTATTTTTGAACTATAGACATTTTTGATATAATCTTCCTGAGTTTTTTTACTTGCAATGGGTAAAAAAGTGATAAACTTTAGCAAATAAGGTGTAGCTTTATAGATTATTTAAAAAGTTTTTTGCAAAAACTATTTCTGGTTGAGGCTTGTTTTTTTATTTAGTGTCCTAGGGATTTGGTAATTTAAAGGCTAAAGTGTATCCTGTACTTTCGAAATCTTTCTAAATTGAATACTCACACTGAATACTCACATTTAAAACCTATAGCAGAGAAAATTTAAATAAGTTCTTTTTTTTCAATGTAATTGTTGAAATAAAATATTACATTTAAAATGTTTTTGTTAAACTTACAGTTTCAAGCTTTTCTGATATATTATCATGAGGTTAAATTTCACGTTTTATGAAATATTTTAATACAATTTTCTCTTGTTAAATAAAAGCTTAAATTGCACTTTTTATGCTTGCAATTTTGTCTGGGCTACCAAAAACGGTTTTAGGCTGAATTTGTTAATGCAAATCAGTCCAAATATTACTGAAAATAAGGTATTTTAGCATAAATTTAGGTGTATAATATGTTGCAAAACCATTGTCAGATATGGGCTCCGCCCCAGACCCTGCTGGAGGAACATACAGCGCTACCCTATACCCTTAGCTGGGAACGTAAGGGGCTTTTAAGCTGCCCCTCTTCCTAGCAGGACCTCCATATGCGGCCCCTTCAGGGCCTTTTTACTAAAAGTCTCCCCCATGACCTTTTTTATTAGTTCGCATGTCTGTTTCAGGAGGAAGGCGCCAATTTTCAGCATTGCCCTGAAAACCAAAAACACTACCTACGCCACTGTATGTATAGACAACTTAAGTAAAATAATGTATTGAATGGTAAATAAGAATTTCTTTTTCAATTAAAAAACCATCTTATTGACTAAAACTTTTGTGAAAAAATATTTTCTTTTACTTTTCCCTAATTTCTGTTGGTAGTTTAAAATACGATTAGCTTGAAAAATAGGCATTGAAGATCAGTTATGTGTAGTTCTTATAATGCCATCTCTGGAATTGAAGCCAGATACTTTTTGTGAAGTCTCTGTTACAAGCTATACACATCGTTTTACTGCTTGGGTGTGGCATGGAAACTTTTCAAAGTTCCACTAAGCCGCTGTTTCACCTGTTTGGATCATTGACCAAATATCTTTATCTGAGACTCTTTGCAGCAAAGGTGGCGTTAAAAGTGTGGTAGTGTTCCAGTCAGTCATCTCTGTATAGTCGGTAGCAAGGAATTTAATTTTGGGTGGTTGAAAATTCCTAATAAACTTTCTTTGAGAAGCTAGGCTTCTTGCCTTTATAATTCTTCTAAAATTTAACTCCCTAATGTAAACCCTTTTGTCTACTATCATTGTTAAAAGCAAGTTTTCTGAATGTGCAAAAAAAGCGTTTTTCTCAATTACTGGGTCTATTACTTTTAGCAAATCATTGGGCAAGAATCTTGACGACTTGATCATTTTAAATACATGTTCAGCTTCATTTGTGAAGAATTTACTTTTTTTTATATGAAACCATCCATAGACATGATTTTAAAAAAAAAGAAACTAAAATTTTGTGCTCCTCTGTTGGAGTTTCAAGGCTCAAATACAATTGTAAAACTCTGTTTGCAGTTGTTAACCACCTTGAGTGTGAAATTGTTCCAGGTTCACGAACAGATAAATCTTCTGAACAACTGGCTGATTTAATAGCGGAACTTCTATCCAACAATTTCTGCTGATCTTTACTTAAAATTTTACAATGGATACTGACAAATTTTATCTCTGTTTTTTTTTCACACTTATTAAGCTGTGCGCCAATTGGACCGCTAAATGAAAATTTAAATTTCCTTTTTCTTCATCACGCTTGAAGGAATTCATAAGGTTGCGATAACTGTCATGGTATCCTTTTATTAGTTTTTACATCTCTGTAAATTGTTACTGTGGGTATTAAAGCTTTATCAAACACTGATTTAACTTGTTGTGCAACACAATTTGAAACATAAGAAAACTTAACTGGCTTGTTGTTTGATTTCAAGGCTAGATTGTAATTTTCATTAAAACAACACTTAAGAACTTCTTCATAAGTTGGAAGTTTATTTGCAGATAATTCTATTGGATGAACAAAAATCAGGCACTTAAATTCAATACAAGTAATTTTTTTAAAAACAGTTATTACAGAATGGTTAATATCAAATAATTAAAACAAAATTAAATCAAAACAAGTTGTTATAGCAAGAAAAACACCAATTTAGCATCGCATTTTAGGAATACTCTAAAGCATACTTTGTTACAAAAATAATAAAAAGCGAGCATTTATTAAAATATTCAAGTACCATGCACTAGCTTTAGATGTAAAATATTGGTATTATTTTTTTTGCATTTTTCTCACATACCCTTGAAGCATGTTTTCCGGGGTATAGCAAATCAAAAGTCATTTAAAATTTTTTTTCCGCCCACCCATATATATATATATATATATATATATATATATATATATATATATATATATATATATATATATATATATATATATATATATATATATATATATATATATATATATATATATATATATATATATATATATATATATATTTATATATATTATAATTATATGCAAATCCTGACGGCCTGCATAATACAAATGACTTAAAGCCTCGTTTATTTTGCTTATGAGTTATATACTGCTTCAAATCCTTTCGAAATATTAATTGATATGATTTGAATATTTTTATTAATTTCAAAACGTAGTAATGTGATTTGTGTAATTTATTAAATAACTGACGTGATTTTTTTATAGAACTTGTTGTCATTAGAAGAAACGCATGCTTTCAAAGTTTTAAATTTATAAATAGGTACTGCTGATATATTTTACTCTATACTAATTTCTGCTGATATAATTTACTCTATACTAATTTCAGGATTTTAAAGCATCGGTATCTCTGCTATTAGACAATAAACATATACTGTGAGATGCCAATAAATACTTTTATGTTTGTAACATCAAAAGGCATACACACACTTCGGAGTTTTTGAAATCTAATAAAGCTAGTTTGTTGACAAATGAAATTTATAAAACCATCATCAAAGATGTACTTAAAAAAATCAAAAAAAGATGTTAGTTCAATTAAAAAGTAATCAGGCAATGACAACACAACTTTATTCTTAAGCTTTTCATTTTCCACTTTAACATTTTTTTTTACCCAAAGTATATTTCTTTTTAAAAAGTTTTGTGACAATAAAGTGCATGATGTAATAATACTTGCTCTAGATTGTTAAACGTTTGCATGTGGTTCAAGGCCTTAATTGGAATTCTTAGCTTCAACCCTACTGTCATAACTGTCTTGACTATCAATTTGCAAATTATCTTCAACATCTTCCTTATCACCTTCAGATCGTTGTAAGTCATTCTCTCTATCATCATAATTATCAAAAAAGGTTATTATTTGATACTCTGTAAGAATCTTTTGATTTCTTTTGAATATCATTTAAAAAACATCTAAAACATAAATATAAAATAAATAAAAAATTTAATATAGCACAACCATTATTATTTTTCTGGTATTTTTTTAAGTAATCCCTTTTAGAATCATCAATGACTGATAAACTTATAAGTAACAATAGCAAATTTTGATTTTACTGCAATTACTGTGACAATACCCTACGTGTATTTGTTCTTATAAGTTACATTCTAAATGTCTTTTAAACGTTTTTCAAACGTCTTTTAAATTTTCTATACGTAAGAATGTTTAAGAGACGTTTAAAAGACTTTTAAAATACATTTAGAACCTAACTTTTAAAAACAAATGTTCGTAGGGTAACATGCTAAAAGTGTTTCAATAGTGGCAAATATCACATCATTTAAAAATAAGTGCACTCTAAATTATAAATTTACATAAAAAATACTATAAATCATTTTCTTTACATTTTACTAAACATAATGCTGATGATTTCATTTATATTACATTTAAAACTTCTTTTCGATAACTTGTCTTTACTAGTGATACAAGTACAAAATGTGGCATTTTAGCAACAAAGCTTAAAAGATCAATATTTACATTATAAATCTCAAACTATCTAAAAAACTAATACAAATTTTACACTACTTTCTCAAAATACAAAATACTTTTTACAGTACATCATGTAGAGTTAAAGTATAATTAACGTTTTTGAGTTTACCAATGAAACAAGATTTTAAAAATTTTGTACAAAATTTTGTCAGCAACAGTAAAAACACATTTGTTTTCTCACTTAAATTTTTATTTAGAAAAGTAAATACAAAAGTGCCATAGTAGGTTTGAAACTGTTTATGTGTATGCCAAGTAAATTAAAAACTATTTATGTGTATGCCTAGTAATTTGAGTTAGTATCATTTTTATTACTAACTGAAATTAAGGGCTAAACTTAGTTTTGCAAAAATCATTTCAAGATAAATTGAATAATAAACTCGAATAATTAATAATTACCAAACGTGTTTACTTTATAATAAAAAATATACCTAGAACTGAAAGAATCAATCAAACATTATTTCAGGGATACATTATTTCACATTATAATGTTATAAACAATGTTTTTTGGTCAATTTTTAATTTATTTTACTTAGTTTATAATAAGAAACAAATAATATACCACATATAGATGGATCTTCGTCTGAACGATCAAAACAATTATAGTAACCATTACATTTCAAATACAGTGGAATGCATTCACCATTAAAGCATTGAAATTGATTACTTAGGCACTCTGAAAAAAATAAAATTAAATATATATATATATATATATATATATATATATATATATATATATATATATATATATATATATATATATATATATCTTAAAAAGTCATTCTCTTGGTAAACAATATCTTAATAACATATAAATTAACTTCAGAAAAATAGAAAGCGCTTAACTTTTTTTTTTTTAATTTAATTTAAAATAGTAGTATATTAACAATATTTTGCTGATCTAATCAGGTTAGCGTCATCAGATTATAAAAAAAAGTATTAAAACAGCTTTAAAAGTTACCATCTAATAAGTTTTTATACAACAAAACTAAGTGAAAACATCTGATTATAGTATATAAACTTATCCCTATAAGGTTCTTATTAATTTAATGCAATAATTATAGGGGGTATCAGGCTTGGTCAGGAAGCGGGTGGGATCGCACTCGATAACTGACCACGGAAATAATATTTAAATGCCAGATATTTTAGTCGTTTGAAGAACATTTAAATTTATGTATGTTTCCTTAATTAAGTTCATTTTTTTATCGTATTTTTTTAAATTGAATATTTTATTTACGGACATACATAAAAACAAACATAAATTTGAATGTTCTTAAAATCTTTGTGTGAAAAAATGAAAAAAACACAAAAAACCCGCCAAATCAACGAACAACTAATTCAATTGGTTCAAAAAGTACATACCGAAATTTCTAGAGTATTCTGTTGAAATATTTTTAAAAATTGTATTATTTGAGTTTTGTTATAATTTCGTTGAGATTTCTAGCATAATTTGTTTTAAAAATATACAATCAAACGAACTATTATTTTAATTCTTGGAGCCACATCTACAAAGCTATAAATGTTTAAAACTTGTTTTTAAACTTTAAAAATGTTTCAAATTTGTTTACAAAAATAAATGTTTTTAATTTACTAACTTTAATTTTTTTTGTTTCAGCCATTCTTACAAACTCGTTACACTTAAACTTAAAGTTAACTTTTTCTGTTTTGAATACTAATTAAAATTATAAAGCCCACTAATTAAACATCATCAGCGTTATTGTAAAGTAGTTCCGCTTCCTCCTCACATAGTAATTTAACGTTTTTAGTTAATTTCTATTTAGCTAATTGAATTTCTACAAAAACTCAATGATTTAATTATTTTATTTGTTCATTTTATTAGATATTTAACGCATTTGAAACAATTTTTCTTAGAACATTTGTTTCCTTATTAAACAATCTTTATTAATAAGTTTTTACTTTATATAAAAAATGTCACTTAATTTTATAAAAAAAATTATAAAAGAGCGACGTTACAAAAATACTTGCTCTAATCGCTCTAATTTATTTTGCTTAAAATTTTTTCGCGTTAAAAGCTATTTTTCTTTTTTTAACTGTCTCTCATCAGTCCAGTCAATCTTATTGCGCTTTTTTGTTTGTTTTTAAAATGTTCTTAAAACGACTAAAAAATCTGGCAGGTTTTTCGCAACTAAATAATATTTCCGTGGTCAATTATCAAGAGCGATTGCACCCGCTTCCCGACTAAGCCTGGGGTATATATATCATTGTTATTCAATTAATATGAAAAAATTGTTATAAAACAAGCAAATAAAAAAACATCTACGTAATGTATTAATGAGTCTCAAAAAAAGAATAATAAGATTTCCAAAACGGCAATATTACATAATCACAGTCATTTCTGTTTAAACCACATTTGGAGAACACTAGCCATATTTTTTTTCCCTAAGGCTCACTCACTTTAAATTCAAATTAGTGTGTGTCCTTCTTTAGGGGTGTTTTTCCAACTAGTTTTAGCCATAGATAAAATGGCAACTTTTGAATTACTAAGCTATTAGTAATTTTTTAAATTTTTCCTTAAAGGTGTCTTTTTCATATTCGCAAATGGACTTTAAAACTTTTAGCATTATTTCATTCACATAAAGACAATTTAAATGTTTACTTGTAGACTCCAGGATATGAGTTGAAAGGAAGTCAAGACTTGCTGTTTTAAGTAATAATTTGTCAAAGAATATAGGTGGTTTGAAAACTATAGTATCTCCTGTATTTTTAAATACCGTTTTTAACGGAATGAATTTATTCGGCCCCCTTGACAAAAAAATATAAATAAATAATTTTTTTTTAATGTTATGTAGTAGTTTTATAAAAATTTTTAAATAAAAAAGAAACATAAAAAAAACAAGAAATAAAAAACTATAGTTATATAATAAATTATAAAACATACATAACATAGCATAAACAAACAAATAATAAGGCAAGATTACATATTAAAACCAGATCCTTTAACTTATTTTTATGTTAGAAAGTAACATAAAACAAACCGTTAAAACAAGAGAAGACTTTAAAAGGCGAATAATTTAAAAACCAAAAAAATTTAAATTCAATGACGTCATGTAAGTTTTTGTCAAAATAGATCAAAAGTTTATATTTTATTATTAAACTCAACAGCTAGTATTATAAAGTCACATTTTGACACTGTATAACAAGATTAATGGGATAATAACATTATCATTTAAAAAAGTTTAGTAGTTAAATAAAATGTTAAAGTAAACTGTTGCTGTTTATGTTGTTTGTGTTGTTGGTGGTGATTGCGTAATTTGACCTAAAAAAAATAAACACAGGAGTCTTTTAATAGCATTTTTAAAACAAAAGTAACAAACACCCACGCTTAAAAGTAAAATTTTCAAGTTATTTCAATACACATAATTTAGCGTTAGGAGTTTCATATTGCTTAATAAACTTTTTCTAAACTATAGCCATTTTTCATATAATCTTACTAAGTTTTTTTTTTTAATTGCAAAGGATAACAAATTGATAAATTTAAACAAATAAGGTGTAGCTTTATAGATTATTTAACTAGTTTTTTGCAAGAACTATTTCTAGTCGAGGCTTGTTTTTTTATTTAGTGTCGTAGGGTTTACGTAATTTAAAAGCTAAAGTGTATCCTCTAGTTTAAAAAATCTTTCTAAATTGAATACTCACATTGAATACTCACATTTGATTCTTCTATTAGAAAAAGTATAAAAAAAATTTTTGATGTAATAATTGTCGTTACTTTATTGATTATTTTGAAAAAAAATGAAACAGAAAAAAACAGTAAAAAATTATAAATAAAAATTTTTTAATTAAATAAAAGATAAAATAAGTATTTACTAAAATCAAATGTTTTTACTTATATTTTTTTTAATTTAAAAAAACTGCTAAAAAAAAAAATTCAAAGGCTTATAGTAAATAAACTAAGAAATATATTTAATGTGGATTTCAGTTAAATATTTGTCAAGAAAGTTCATATGACTTTATCTTACGATTACCATCGTCAACGAGTAATATGTATTCATATTTTGACAGCAAACAACGAATTTAATCAATGAAAAATACTTCTTATAATAAAAGTTTACTAGATAAATATAAGGTTACCAAAAAATGTGGTTGATCTTGTTAGTGTTGTTATTTCCGTTGTTCGACCTAAAAAAATATCATATTAGAAGTCTTTTATTTACAATATAAAAACAAAAGTAATTACTTTCTAAAATCAAAAGTAAATATTGCAAATAATATTATTTTTTACATTTTTGTGTAAGTTGTTTAATTTTGTGGAATACACTTTTTCTAATTTAATCCCTTTATAATGTAATACTCATAGTTTTTTTATTTTCATTTGCAATAGTAACATATTGAATAATATAACAAAATGAGACTTAAATTATGAATTTTTTCATTTCATGGCTTTTTTTATTTTAATTTAAAAAAAGTTTAAAATTTTATCTTGAATTTTGTCGTAAATAAAAAAATTAGCTTAAAAAAATACAAAAAATGACAATATAAACTATTTTTGTTCATACTTATCAATTAATGAAATAACTAAATGCAAATGTCTTTCGTTAAAAATAAGTTTAAATTGCACTTTTCACAATTGCATCTTTGCCTAGATACTCAAAATTGATCTAGTGACTATCCTGTTCTGTTCTAAAATTATACAGTGATGCTTTAGAGCTGGCCATTTATGATTCTTTTGTTTCAAAGCCATTATTTTGTTCAAAACTCTTATTTTTGTTAAAGCATTTTTTTGTTTTGAAGCTCGATAAACAAGTAGCAAAAGATTTAGATTCGACTGAATCCACATCTAATAAATAAATGGCAAAAAAACCCAGAAATACCACTTTTTTGAGCGATGCTTAAAAAGACTTCTTGCAAGATGCTTGTCAGTAAGGTCAACATTTGCCATATGTTTGTTGTGTTCATTAATTACACTAGGACAAATGACTTTTACACTTTCAAACCGTGGAAAATTAGTTCTGTAGAATTTCTATAAACAAATCATACATATAGCCTATAGAAATTTTAGAAAAATCTATAGACATTCTAGAGAATCTCTGTAAATTTCCGTAAAAACACCTAAAGAATTTTTTTTTCTACTTTTTTGTTTTAAAAAAAACATTTTCCAGGAAAAAACGTTCCATAGCCTTTTCTATAAAGTTTTAAAGGATATGGCCTATAGAGATTCTATAAAGTTCTACATATTTTTTATAGAATTTCAGTTAATTTATAGAAAAATTTTTAAAAAACTTTTTTTCTACTTTTTTTCTATAAAAAAAAATTTTTTTAGCAATTTCTATAGAAATTTATACATATTCTATAGAAAAACATAGGAATTCTCAAAAATTTCTACAGGCTTTATGTTTCAAATTTTTATAGAAATTCTATAGAATTTCTTATCCTGGTTCTGTACTAATTTCTATAGAAATTTATAGTCATTCTGTTAAAGTTCTTAACAATTTCTATAAACCATATGTTTCTCCTGAAAAAAAAATGATCTATAAAATTTTCAAGAACTTTAGAAACATATGGCCGATAAAAATTCTTAAAAATTTTTATACAATGTCAATAAAATTCTAAAGAAATGCTATAAAACTATTTTTTACTACAAAAACAAAAGTAGAAATAAAAATTTCATTACAATTTTTTTTGAAGTTAAAAGAAACTCTAGAGTTTCTTTTAGATTTTTTTTATAGATTTTTATATAGACTATATGTCTTATATATTATTATGTCTTATTATATATTGTTATGTCTTATATATATTATTATGTCTTATATATATAGACTATATGTCTTATATATATAAGACTATATGTCTTATATAGACTATAGACTTTCTATAGATATAGAAATTCTATAAAAATTCTATAGAATTTTTAAATGCCATATGTTTCAAAAGTTTATAAAAAATTCTATAGAACTTATTTTCCTGGGTCAAAGGTTTATAAAAGGTCTAAAAAACATTTTTTTATAGTTGATTTTCTGTCATATATTGATACTTTTGTTTTTGGCAATTTACCTATTCACGCTAATAACACCGTTACTATTTTGTTTTCTGCCCATGATAAACATATAACATAAATACCTTTAATGATTGAAATAACTGTCCCTTGAAAGTTTCTTCGTTTTGCTTTTTTTTATAAATTTGCATTTGTGAAATCTTTTTTTTCTAATAGTGCTTAACATAAAACGTTTTTGTTGCGTTGTGTATATATATATATATATATATATATATATATATATATATATATATATATATATATATATATATATATATATATATATATATATATATATATATATATATATATATATATATATATATATATATACATATATATTATAGTGGGCTTATAAATCCTTTCTTAAAAATTAGGAAACGTAATGGCGTGCAGTAGTTGCTCAATGACCTTGTTAGTTATTGTGCATAATATTTTGATTTTTGAAAGTCATCTTGAGGTGCCCCAGAGCATCCAAATTTTTAGACTGCTAAATGGCCCAGTTTGGTTTTAAAATGGTAAAGCTTCCAATGAAGTATTACTAAAAGCAACCATATTTATTATTAAAGGTAGTGAAACAGAGTCAAATAGTTAGTTAATGCAACAGACTGTTGTAATGATTCTATGTTTTTTCTATTATCACTCATTCATAATGAAAATAAAGTAAATACTATACAATTAACTAAATGTACTTTTCATCAAAATATAAATGTCAGAAGTTAATTTGACACCCAGTAGCAAACTCAAGAACCTGACTAATGCTCAGGTGAGAAGTACGACTATACTTTATACATTATTGCATTTTGACGTAATCGGAACCCTATTATTATTACGTGACATAACTTAGCAAACCATGCTAACCTGAAAAGAGTTAGAGTTAAAGATAAAGTCAAAATTAGGGTTAGGGTTTAGTTTTACATGCATCGGCCGCCTCTCAGCAATAACTGAGTTCGTGTTGCTTATGTTTTCAGAAAATAAAAAAGTACAGTACTACACCCTGCAGCGAAACGATTAAGCAGACAAGAAAATTCCAATGCTATCTGGATTTTAGTTATCCGTCCAGAGCCAAAAACACCCAACTTACAATAAATTTAAATGCAATGCAAACCTTTTTGCATATAAAACGAGACATGAAATTGACGGACAGTTCTCCAGATCATGTAGTTTCCACAGACTCAGAATGAACAGCGAACCATATCGAGCATATATGAATCAAAGGGTCAATCTCAGTAATATCACACAAGAGAATTGTAGAGAAAATCAAAACGTTCCAAAACAATTACAGAAAGTTGCTATAACCATATAAATCCAGACAATGTGATCCAGCATTAGCTAAGCAAAGTAAAAGATTTGATACCGAAATAAATCTGCAAATATTTGATATTGCAATATGCAAATATATCGATTTTCCAAGTTACAGATCTAAATTTTAGCATAAGGTACCGCCTGCGGAGAAATGCTTCTTGATGGACAAACGAAATCAACAAAAAATGATGATCAGCAGCGTTTATGTAAGAACTTCATAAAAACTCGTGTTACAACAAAAACGCCAAAGACAAGTGGATGATTTTATAGAAAAACATCGCAAATATATCAAAATTGATGAGCAAGTTAACGATGTAAATGTTCCAGCTACGCCTGATGGGGAAGACTCAAAAAAAAGTGCAATGGATCCGGATTTTAGTGTTACTACTGATACTACTGACTGTAAAGTATATGATATAGATAGTAAGCAGCGCAAGAATCAAATGCAACTAGAACTACTATCGCGTGCACGGAAGGATCGCGATAAATATCAAAACTAATACAGTTTAGTAGATACATGAAACCACAACTCAAAGTGATTGTAAATCTCGGAGTTGCTAGAAACAGTTACTTTTGCCATTCTGAGAAAATCTTATTGGCAGGTGTGGCAAGGAAATTGTGCAAGCTGAAAACAAGCTTGTTGTTCCTGTTCTTAACGCAATTTTGTAGCTCTGTTTCAGCTAGATGTTTCGTCATCGAAGGTTTGCAGCGGTGTTTAATGTTTCTGCTCACAAGATCTATGTAATCTCTGGCATTGAAGTTTAAACTTGGAACTCAAAATTGTTGAAGTGCTTCTGATGGTTCTCCTTCCGTGCTTTGAGATTTCGTCTGCAACCCAGCTCACTGATGTGGTCTCTTCTATCAGCTAACATTAAGCCAAAAAACGACATATTCGTCTACTGACTGAGGCATCGATGGCAGACTGCACTGAACAACAAGACGAATTTAACCGTTCTGGTAATGAATCCACAAAAAAAATAAAAACGTTTGACAACAAAGCACAATACAGACTTTTACATTTTATTTGCATGTGTAGTGTATACTTGAGAAACTAAATGAAACCTTGCTTAGTTGTACAAAAAATGTCAGAAAATTACGACATTGCATACAGTTGTTGATAATTCACCCCAAGACCAAAAAGTCTATGAACCCTACTTTTTGGTATTTACTTATGCTACTTTGGGGCAATTATTCCACTTCTGATAACTTTAGATATGAAGATTCTTTTTAAAATACCTTCATATATATATATATATATATAAATTTATATATATATATATATATATATATATATATATATATATATATATATATATATATATATATATATATATATATATATATATATATATATATACATATATATATTTATATATATATATATATATATATAAATATTTTTATATTTTGTATTTTGTGTAATTTATTATATTTATGACGTGATTTTTTATAGATTTTGTTTTAATTAAAATTTACCTATAGACATTGCTTATATACTTTTTTTTATACCAAATATATTTTATACCAAAATCAGGATCACAAAGAATTGGTTTCTCTGCTGTGAGACCACTAACATAAACAATATGATACCGATATATAATTTTACGTTTGTAAAATCAAAAAGTATTGACAAACGTTGGAGTTTTTAAAATCTATTTATGCAAGTTTGTTCACAAATGTAAATTATGATAATATCATCAAAGATGTACTTGAAGAAATTAAAAGAAGTTGTCATTTCACATTAAATCTAATTAGGCGATGACAACACAAACTTAATTTCAAGCTTTTCATTTTCCAATGTAATATTTTCTTTTACCCAAATTAAATTTCTCTATAAATTTTTTTGTGGCAATAAAGTGCACAATGTAGAAATATTTGCTATAGATTGTAAAGTGTTTTCATGTGATTTTAAGCATTGTTGAATTCTTAGCTAGAAACCTGCTTTTATAACTGTATTGACTCTCAATTTGCAGATCATTGTCAACATCTTCTGCATCACCTTCAGATTATTCAAAGTCATCCTCACTATCATCTTAGTTATCTAAAAAGAGTATTAATTATTTCTCTGTAAGAATCATTTACTTCTTTTGGATATCGTTATAGAAACATAAAACGTAAATATGAAATAAACTTAAAAAGTTATTTTAGCACAAACACTATTGTTTTTCTGGTATTTTCTTCAAGTTATTTTTATTTAAATCATCCATTACTTCTAGACTTAAAAGTACCAGTGGTGAAGTTAGCTTTTACTACAAATAATGAGACAATATCATACTAAATGTGTTTAAATAGTAGCAAATATCATACCATTTAAAAATAATGTGCACGCTAAATTATAAATTTACATAAATTTTACTTAAAAATATTAGCTTTACTAAACACAATGCCGATGATTTTGTTTATATTACACTTATAAGTTACTCTCGATAGTTTGCATTACTAGTGATACAAGTGCATAATGTTGCATTTTAGCAACAAAGTATAGAAGATCAAAATTCACATTATAAATATGTAGCTATCTAAACAAGCTAATCTAAGTTTTTAACTACTTACCCAAAAGACTTAATATTTTTTCTGAACATATAGTAAAGTTAAAGAATAATTAACGTTTCTGAGTTTGCCAATAAAAACAATGTTTTCAAAATTATTTAGAATTGTTGGGGCAGGAAATAATAAATAATGGTATCAGCGACTGTGAAAACCCTTTTGTTTTTCCCCATCAATTGTTATTTAGAAAAGTAAATTGAAAAGTGCAACATTAGGTTGAAAACTATTTATGTGTACACCAAGTAATATAAAATTATTTTTATGCAAGCCAAGTATTTTTAGTTAGTGTCATACTCAATACTATTTGAAAACTAGTGTTAAATTTAGTTTTGCCAAAAATTATTTCTAGATAAATGTAATAAAAATCTTGACTAGCTTATTATTAATAAACAAGAGTGTTTAATTTATAATAAAATATATACCGAGAACCGAAAGAACCGGACAAAAACATATCAGGGATATGTGAATTGACATTATAATGTTATATACAATATTATTTGGTCAATTTATAACTTATTTTACTCAGTTTTTAAAAAAAGACAAACACTATACCGCATATAGATGGATCTTCGTCTGAATGATCAGAGCAGTCATAGTAATCATCACATTTCCAGTTTAGTGGAATGCATTTACCACTAAAGCATTGAAAATGATCACTTGAACACACTGAAAAAATTATAATAATAAGCTAAAAAAATTTAAATTTTTTAGATTTTAACGAATATATATATATATATATATATATATATATATATATATATATATATATATATATATATATATATATATATATATATATACATATATATATAAATATATATATATATATATATATATATATATATATATATATATATATATATATATATTATATATATATATATATATATATATATATATATATATATATATATATATATATATATATATATATATATATATATATATATATATAAGCGTGAATTTATGTCCTTAAAAGTTTTCTTCTTATAAGATATTTTAGAAACATACAAATTGACTTCAGAAAAATAGAAAGCACTTAACTAATTTTTAAATTTAAATTAAAATAGCAGTATTTTGACAATATTTTGATTTCCTAATCAGGTCAGCGTCATCAGGTTTAAAATAAAGTTTTAAAACACTTTTAATAAATGCCAAAATATAATTTTTTATACAAAAAAATACTAAGTTACAAAATCAATGTTTAGTATATAAATTTATTGCAATAAAATTCTTATTATTTTAATGCAATAATGGTAGGGTTTATTTATACAATTGCTATTCAAGTAATATAAAAAATAGTTATAAAACAAACAAAAAATAAAACTTAAATGTAATGTGTTAACGAGTCTCAAATAGAAAAATATAGCATTTTCAAAATGGCAATATTATGTAATCATAATCATATTTGATCAAGCCATATTTGGAGAACAATGGTCATATTTTTTTTCAAAGCTTATTTTTTACTTAGAGCCGTTTAGTTTTGTTTTTTTGAAGGCTAAAGTGTATCCTGTAATTCAGAACATCTTTTTATATTGGATACTCACATTGAATACTCAAATTTGATACCTTGATTAAAAAAAAAAAAATTTAACTTTTTTTTTGAAGTAATTATTGTTGCTTTATTGAATATTGTGCATAAAAAACAAACAATAAAAAAATAAAACTTAAAAAAAATTAAAAAAATTATGATTAAACAAAAAATAACATAATCGTATACCAAAATAAAAAGTTTTGACTTTTTTTAATGTAAAAAGAAACAGCTGATAAAAAAAAATTTAAAAGGCGTATATTATATGAATTAGAAAAATTATTTAAAGGTGACGACAGTTAATTATTTGTGTAAAAAGTTTTTCAGATTGTGATTTACCATTATCCCTGTCAAGTAGTAATATTTAGAGTATACTTGACAGCAAAAAAGAATTTAATAGATGAAAAATACTTCTAATTTAAATGTTTCTAGATAAATAAAGTGTTACCAGAAAACACTGTTGTTCTTGTTGGTGTTGTTATTTGCGTTGTTCGACCTAAAAAAATATAATGATAGAAGTCTTTTATTAACCATATAAAAACAAGAATAAATACTTCCTAAAATTAAAAGTAAGTAAAGCAAATATTTTTTTTTTATATTTTTGCGTTAGTATATATGCTTGGCTAATGTATAAATATTAGATTTAATGTAATACACTTTTTTTAAACTAGTCCATTTTTAATGTAATACTCATAGTTTTTCTCTTCATTTGCAATTAAAGCAAATTTTTTAATATAACAAAATAAGACATAGATTATTATTTTAGCTCTTTATTTCTACGCTTTTTTTTTATTTAAAAACATTCAAACTTTTATCTTTAATTTTGTGGTAAATAAAATAATTACTTTAAAAAAATACAAAAACTGACAAAATCATATTTATTAATTAATGAAACAAATAATTTAATAAATAATAAACTAATAATAACTGTTATTAATTATTTAAATAAATGAAAATGTCTTTTATTAAAAATAAGTTAAAGTTGCACTTTTTACATTTGCATCTTTGTCTAGGCTACTCAAAATTGATCTTGTGAATATCCTGTTCTGTTATAAAATTATAAAGGGATTCTTTAGAGCTGGCCTTTTATGCCTCTTTTTCTTCAAAGCCATTATTTTGCTCAAAACTCCTATTTTTTTATAGTTTATTTTTTGTTTCAATAAACGAGTCTCGAAATATATAGCTTAGACCGACTCCACATCTAATAAATGGCAAAAAAAACCCTGAAATACCACTTTTTTAAACGAATCTTAAAAGGACTTCGTGCAAGATGGCTGTCAGTAAGGGTAACATTTTCCATATGTTTGTTGTGTTCATAAGTATACAAGGACATTTGGCTTTAAAACTTGCGGTCCGGGGAAAAACAGTTCTGGAGAAGTTCTATAAACAAATCAAACATATAGCCAATAGAAATTTTGCAAAATTCTATAAATATTCGGTAGAATCTTGGTTAAATTTTGTAAAAATTTGTTTTCTACTTTTTTTTCTATGAAAAAAAACGTTTACCAGGAAAAAAAGTTCTATAGATTTTTCTATAAACATTTAAAACATATGGGCTTGAGAATTTTTATAATATTCTACATGATTTTCAACGAACTTTAGTTAATTTCTAGAAAAAATTTTTAATGAACCTTTTTTTCACCTTTTTTTTCTATAAAAAATATTTTATAGCAATTTCTATAGAAATTTTAGATATTCTTAAGAAAGACATGGAAATTTTGTAAAATTGCTATAGGATATATGTTTCAAATGTTTACAGAAATTCTATAGAACTCCTTTTCCCGGTTATGTACAAATTTCTACAGAAGTTATTAGTCATTCAGTTAAAATCCTAAATAATTTCTTTAAGCTATATGTTTCTCCAGGAAAAAAAGAAAGAACTATAGAGTATTCTACAATATTGAGAAACAAATGGCGTATAGAAACTCTATAAAATTTTTATACAATGTCAATTAAAGCTATAGAAATTGCATTAAAACATTATTTACTATAAAAACAACATAAAAAAAAATTTTATTTAGACTTTTTTAAAAGTTAACAGAAATTCTATAGAAATTCTATAGATATTCTATAGAATTTTTGAATGCCTCATGTTTTAAAAATTAATAAAAAGGTCTATAGAAATTATTTTCCTAATAAAAAGTTTATAAAAGTTCCATAGAACAAATTTTCCTGAGTTGATTTTCTGTCATATATTGACACTTTTATTTTGGGCAATTTACCTATTTACGCTAATAACAAGGTTACTAATTTGTTTTCTGCCTAAGATAAGCAACTAAAATAAATACCTGCAATGTTTAAAAAAACTGTCCCTTATAAGTTTCTTCATACAAAATTCTTTCATAATATTTGCATTATTGAAATCTGCTTTTTCTAACAGTAGTTAACATTAAACTTTCTTGTTGTGTTATGTTTGTGTATATATATATATATATATATATATATATATATATATATAAATATATATATAAATATAAATATATATATATATATATATACATATATATATATATATATATATATATATATATATATATATATATATATATATATATATATATATATATATATATATATATATATATATATATATATATATATATATATATATATATATATATATATATATATATATATATATATATATATATATATATATATATACATATATATATGTATATATATATATATATATATATATATATATATATATATATATATATATATATATATATATATATATATCAGGCTTGGTCGGGAAGCGGGAGCGATCGCTCTCGAATACTGACCACGGAAATTATATTTAGTTGCGTAAAACTGGCCAGGTTTTTTAGTCGTTTTGAGAACATTTAAGTTTATGTACGAAACAAAAAATTTTTGTTTTACGGACATACATGGAAACATAAAAAACTTGAATGTTCTCAAAACATCTTTGTGCGAAAGAATAAAAAGAATGTTTGCGAACACTAAAAACCCGCCAAATTAACGAACAAACTAATTCTATTGGTTAAAAAAATACGCTGATTAAGTGAAATAAAGTTCTAGAGTATTCTGTTATAATGTTTTAGAAATTGTATTATTCACGATTTGTTACGTTTTGAGATTTTTAGCATTGTTTTAAGAATTTATATTATTTGTTTACGAAAATAAATGTTTTAAATATACATTAGTTAAATTGTTAAAATTTTCAAAGTTTATTATAAATCATAGATTTTATTAGTATATTCTTATTTTTTATTTTAAAAGAGATTGTATTCTTTATGTAAATGTAATTTTGTGTATTTATTTTTTATCGTAATGTATCTTTTAAAGCAATTTTTATGATTTAAACAAAGACTTACAAAAATAATTGTGTTTTTAATGAAGTTTTAATCGTTAAAGTTAATAAAACTAATTATGTAACAAACATATAAGAAGTTTCTGGTTACTAAACACAAACAACGCATACAAAGTAACTCGCGGATGAACAAGCATCGCGCCTGAGGTCACGACAGAACACAAATATATATAGCAAATAATTAGATATAAAGAAAAATTTCTAGATATTGATTTACTAACTCTAATTATTTTTGCTTAAGTTGCCATTCTTAAAACTCGTTATACTTTTTTCTGCTTTAAACACTAATTAAAATTTAAAAGCCCACTCACTAAACATCATCAGCGATATTGTGAAGCAGTTTCGCTTCCTGGTCATTAAGTATTTTTAACCTTTTTAGTTGATTTCTATCTTGATAATTTAATTCTTATAGTAATTCAATGATTTAATTATTTCATTTGTTTATCTTACTAAGAAGAATCGCTCTAAATATGTTAAACTTTTCAAACTACGCGAAACATAAAATAGGTATTGAAAAAATTAACTTTTTTATTTATAAAATAAATTAAGTTTAAGTAAAACTAAAACTTGCAAACTTAGTTAAATAAAGAATATTTGTTTTCCTTTTAAACAATCTTTTAAGTTGACGGTTGTATGTTTCTATAAAAAGTTGATGTTTCTATAAAAAACATTGCTTAATTTTATAAAAAAAATTATAAAAGAGCGATGTTTCGAAAATATTTGTTTTAAATGTAATTTATTTAGCTTTAAATTTTTTCGCGTATAAAGATATTTTATTTGCCTACTTTTTTTTTTTTTGTAATTGTCTCTCGTCGGTCCAAATAATCTTCGTCGCTTTTTTTTTTTTGCTTTTTAAAATGTTTTCAAAACGACAAAAAAATCTGGCCAGCTTTTCGCAACTAAATATTATTTACGTGGTCAGCAATCGAGAGCGATCGCTCCCGCTTCCCGACCAAGCCTGATATATATATACATATATATATATATATATATATATATATATATATATACATATTTATATATATATATATATATATATATATATATATATATATATATATATATATATATATATATATATATATATATATATATATATATATATATATATATATATATATATATATATATATATATATATATATATATATATATATATATATATATATATAAATATAAAAATTAAAATGCATGGTAATTTTATTTTATTGAAATAATTTGTGTAAATTTATCTACAAAAACATAAAGTTATGCAGATTTTTACCGAATATTACGCATTGCAATATCTTTATGGATATGTTAAGCCATTTGGAAAAAAAAACCTAAATATGTTGCATAAAACATCTATATATAGCATTAAAGGTCTATAAAAACTTTATTATATTGCATGAAACTTTATTAAATTATATGAAACGAAAAAAAATCTAATTATATTGAATAAAACGTCTAGCAATTTTGTTTAACAAATTTCTTTATAATTAAATTTCTATAAAATTTATAATTATTTTTTAAAAATGTTATGTTATAATTTTGTATTGTTTTTTTTTTTTTTTATTTTTCTTTGATTTCTTAGTTTTTCCTCCATATTTCCTTTTTTAATTATGCAAAAATAAAAGTTAATCCTGTCTTTTCTCTTCTTTTCGGGCAATATCAATTTTGTCTTTTATGAGTTTAACGATTCTTTCCGAGCAATCATTAACAACTGATAGCTTAAAAACTGCCTTCTGAAATTTTAAGTAGAAATCGTTGCAAGTCCAATATTCTGGAGGAGTTTTCATCCATTGACAGTCACTTTTACTTTGGCCTATCATAAGGAACAATAGCCACGAATTTTCTGTGACCAAATGAACTAAGCTGGGAGGCTTCGGTCCATTGAAGTCTAAAGAATTGAGGACCTCTATGTTAGCACTTATTCGGGCTAACGGATATTCATCCATACTATGAAATCCATAGCTGTATAGTTTTTGAGCAATATCACCTCTTTCTTTACATTTTTCATCAGCTAGAGCTAGTACAATATATATATATATATATATATATATATATATATATATATATATATATATATATATATATATATATATATATATATATATATATATATATATATATATATATATATATATATATATATATAAATTGTACTAGCTCTAGCTGAT